GTTTTTATTCTCTTCCATTGATTATTTTCAGAATCCCAATTTTCTATACATCCATCTTTCCAAATTGCTTTATAAATAGTTCCAAATCCTCCTTTGGCCAAATATTCAACATTTTCAAATCTATCATATTCAATCCACTCTAATATTTCCCTAAATTCTGTAGCTTTAAGTTGTGTTTTTTGAATAAACTTATCAACTTCATTATTACCACTAGTCCAATTTTTGAAATTTTGTTGAAATTTACATTGACACCAATTAGAAGTAATTTTGGGCTGCTTACAATCTTTGCATAAACCATTATCCTTATAACGTTCTTTTAATTCTTCATTTAATATTAGCTTATCAATTAAAAATCTTTGTTCATCTGTTAATTCATTGTAATTAAAATCTTTTATTTGTTCAATTACATCATCACTGAGCTTAAATTCTTCCATGTCAGCTTTATTTTTAAACAGAGTAAAAGGATTTTTTTTTTTTAAAAAAAAAAAAGGGGCAACCTTATATTACGTATTACAGTTGCACGGCAGCGATCGACAAATCTTATTTTAATTTAGGGCGTTAAAAAATCAGCTGATGATCACAAAGTCACGAATAAATCTCAGTAAGAAATTATTTTTTTTTTTTTTGTAGATTCTTTGACAGAAATTTATTTAGGAATACAAAATTAAAATACTCTATAATACGAATTTCACAAAAAAATCTTTATGGATCATCTAATACTAAAATTACTATTTGATTATCTTTTGTTATTACAATTAGTATATTGTACAAATTACTGTACATAGACTTGAAACAACTGATAGCAATTGGATAAAATATTTTATAAAAAAATTTTTTTGATATGATAGTAATTTTAATTATGATTTTAATTATGTTTATTCATAATGCAAGATTTACTAATAATAATATTCTCTATGATTGATTTAATACTAGTATATCTTTCTCAAACTAAGATTCAATAAATAAATATAATATATAAAAAACTTTGTTATTATTAAGTAAAGGGAATTTAATGAATGAACTCATTTATAATATAATAATCGTTAAATTAATTATGTTTAACGAAAGGAAAAAGAAAAATTTTGACTGATGATAAATAAAAATAATCATATTTAATAGAATTAAGTTTCCGTTCATTTTAAAATCATTCTTTCTAATAACATGATTGATATTTTATTGTTTTGTTTATTTATTTAAATGCTTTCAAAATAATATACTAGTATTTAAATTCTTATGGTAAATCTTTTATTAATGATACAAATACGTATTCAAAATATTGTATCTTAATAACGTCATAAATCTCAAAAAATACTATAATCATCTTTTTAATTCAGTTAGTAGGTTGCTCTTTAGAATAATTATTATATTATTGATGTACTACAATTATCTATGGACAATGATTATAAAAAGATATCGCTATATTAAAGAAGCTATCTCTAAAATATTAAAAAAAAATTATAAAATTAATAACGATATAAATTACATTTTATTAATTTTATTACCAAACGTAATATATCATAATTTACATAATTACGAAATTAGAATATACTATTTTAGTTAGCTAATTATAAAATGATTTATCATTCATACTACATACTTGGCGCGTGAATAATAATACAAAGAAAAAAAGAACATTCCCTAAGCAAAAGGCATAAAGGCACGTGGATAAATAAATATGCTTATTTTTTCCAAAGGTATTATTAAAATCATAAATTAGATTGAAGAAACTCTATCACTTACGGCATACTTTGACAATTTGACATACAG